GGAAAAAAAAAAAAAAAAAAGCCTGAAAGGTGGGTCTTCTAGGACATCTGACCGTGGTCAGTATTTCATGTCCGATGATGGTACATTAGAGAGGAGTTCAGCCTCCAACAGAGATGAGGAATGATAAAGGAGGGAGTTAATTACTAGCTACTAAACTAATTTTAAAGATCTTCTGTAAATGATGTTTGAAATTCATTCCAGTCTTCCTTACACTCTACCCAGAGCCAACGCTGATTTCTGAGAGAGACATCATGGGGGCCTTCCTCCCCAGGACACCCAGCAACCTGGCAAACCTGACCAATGCCCCACAAAATGTTAGCAGTTCTCTCATCTGGGAGAGCCACCTACCAACTGAGTCCGGGTTTGTTTCTAAAATGTCTGGCTCCTAAATCCTTAAAATAGCCACAGATCTCCAGATAAGATGCTAGAGTCTAGGGATCACTTAAAACAGCAGTCTCTGTGTTGCAATTACATAATAAACATGCTTATTGGGGGGGGGCGGTCAGATGGACAGTAAGCTACTCCGTTTTTTGTGTTGTTGTTTTTTTAACAATCTGTACCTACTGGTGCAATTTCTTAAAACAAAATTATAAAGGGTCATAGATGTATCCTCTCTACTGACCCCTCTCTAACCTACCGGGTATTTCTCCTTACTGAAAACCAACTAAATTCCAAGGAGATACTGACATGGTAAAGAGCTGATTACCATTTGCTTTTCCTCCCATGGAGAAAAGGTCCTGCCTATATTGATATAAAGGAGGGAGGGCATCGAGGGCCAAAGCTGTCCATCCGTGCACCAATTAAAGCAGAATTCTACCTAAGTCATCCCACATTTTCAAAGGGTAATTTATTCTAAAATATGAATTACTTTATAAAGGATATTATTTTATACAGGATAAAATGCCAAAAGGCTCGTGAGTGATCCCTAAGCCTCTCGAATTCACGCAATGCCCTTAATTTTATCATCTCTGTTAGAGGAGGGAGCACAACCACTGGAACAAAAAATGCTTAACTCTGGGGATCCAGAAGGATTGAAATCTTTAGAAACTGACAGAGATCCACAAAGACGCATCTGCATTTATCTAGCCTCGACTTTATTATAAACAGCTAAACTTCCTATCATAGCCTACTGATGGTTTTCACCCTCCCTTCCTAAAAATCACCCCATGAGAAAAAGATGAATAAAATAGTTCTCACTTGGGGAAATGTCATTTTACAAATCACCATTATCACGCTGTACCCAGTTGATTGCTTGCTCATTGGAATTTGGGGTTTCTGAAAAGTATTGGCACATTAACAAGGGGTCAGGAAGCTGTTATGGCAGACTAGTGAATTTCGTTTTAAGGCTGTAATTTTCCCACAGGAGGAGGAGATCTTTCCCTTGGAGATTCTAGGGGCCTCTCAGATTCCCTGAAGAGATCTAGCATATCACACCTCTAAGGGGCTTTCCTCTGAGGGAGGAGAGGAGCCCGGAAGAAGAGCTCAGTTACATAACCCGTTACCTAAAACTAAATATTCCACCCCAAGAATCTGTCCAGATGTTGCAGAGAAGAGATGATGAAGAGCCTGTGAGAGGGATCTGTTTGCCTTCAGCTGTAGGAACAGTAATAGTGGAAAGATGACTTTGGGCAGATATTTATTGTCCGAGCATTGGCACATCTCTGGTGTTCTCCCTGAAATGGACTCTCTATTAATTACCTAAGGTAAATAAGCTGTCTGCCTGCCAGCATACATATGACCTTCTATTTTCATCCCGTAAAATGAATTCCTTTGTCTTTGTAACATAGTAACTTTTGTGGCTGTTTTAGTGACTTTGGAGGAACCTTGACAAATTCTTGGCATAGGCTGAGAGTTGCAACTCCTGTGGCAGCTCCCATGGGAATCTTATGATTCCAGTGGGACAGCGGGAATGACTTTTGCCTGGAAAGTCCCCAACTACTACTTTGAGTCCCCACATTTAGTTTCTACTAATGGTCAGAACTCTGTTGGCTGCCAGCCAGGAGGGTTGGAAATGAACAAGTGGAATATTACCTATGGAGTGTGTGTGAATGGAGGCTTGGGGGAGGGAAGGCCGCGTCTCTCAACGTGTTTTATCACCTATCAATTATTGCAACAACGCTC